TGGAACTCGGACCCACTTCTTTCTGACTCTTCTAGAGCTGTGCTTTTAACCACCTTTGATCCAGCGGCAGGTGCAGGCTTGGTGTAGTCTCCTGTCTGGACAGTGGGAAGAGAGCAACGCAGAAGGACACCGGCTCACTGTAAGTGCACAGTAAATGGGAACGGAGTAGCCAGGAGCTTCTCAAATCCAGAGTTCCTTTCCCCAGCTGAAAAGAGCTTTGAGAGGAAACTGCCTCGGGCAGCATGGGGTGTGGGAGGAACACTAGACAGGCCGCTGGGGACTTGGGTTTGCCTTCCAGCCCTGCCACTGACTAGTCATCCAGCCTCTGTAGGCTTCGTTTTCATTTGTAGGGTGATAGGATGTCTGGAATGATGACCTTTTATCCCATCCTATGATTATGTGGTTTGCTTTTAAACCGTGACTGGCACTGATTTCTCGCTCCTGCCTTTTCAGAGTGCCTTTACATTGGTTTGGCTTTAGCTGTGCAGCACTGATTGCTTCTGGTGGGATCATTGGCTATGCAAAAGCAGGTAAGGTTTTGTAGGTACTTAGCCTCTTGGAGAGAGTCCTCGGGGTCCCCAAAGAGCAGTCCCGCTTGAGTCAAGTTTGCCATAGGCCGTCCAGCTTGAGCGCAGGGTTGGTTGTCAGTCCCGTAGCTTCTCCTGCACTCACGTGTGGTTATCTGGTCGAGCCAAGCCAGGCTTCTTGTCCGGTCACTTGTTTTTGCCTCTTTATCTAAAGGTAGGCAGGGGTGGTAGTAAGTTATTATCATTGACTGCCGTATATTAGCCTGGACCGTAAAGTGCCATCTCTGGGCTCTTCAAGTAGGAGGAAACCTCTAATCTTCACAAACTCATTTTTTGAAGTCTCCTCATTAAACTAGGTAGAGGCGTGTCAGTGAATGTGCTTGTTTCACCTCCTCCACCCCCATCCTCATCTGCATCCCCACCCCAACATGCACACACCACAATTCTTATTCTGCAATTTTTTTTTTAACTGACTGGCCCTGTTTCCCTTCCCTTTTGTGACTTACACGAGGTCCTGCTCGTACACAATTCCAGCCCTTGGTTGATCGGGCCTGGTTTAAGGATGGAAGATCTTTTCTCTTCTTAGATGGAAGTGCCCTTTTCCCTCCTCAGATGGAAAAGTCCTGCCTGTTAGAGAGGAGGGGAATGGGGTGGGAAGACTCTGGCTTCTCTGGTAAGATAGCAAACTCCCCCCAACATTTTCCTGCTTGACAAAGCCTTGGTTATGAACCGTGCTGAGAAAGGTTCTGTGTCCTGTGTTCCTGTGTAGGGAGGGGGAGTCAAGTGTCTGACCTTACAGCGCGGGCCTATGTTTGCTTCCCTCTAGGTAGCGTGCCGTCCTTGGCTGCTGGGCTCCTCTTCGGGGGCTTAGCAGGCCTGGGTGCTTACCAGCTGTCTCAGGATCCGAGGAACGTCTGGGTTTTCCTAGGTGCGTCTGTCTGCCTCAGTGTCTCAGCACAGCTATGTATCCAGAATACTGTACTGAATGGCCCTGGTTTGGTGGGATGTGGCAGGTTCCTCACACTTCTGACAGTTTCTGTGCTTCTGCCAAGTCCTAAGAAAGTTTTAAAATGGGGTGGGGTTGGGGGGATGCTAGTCTCTGTTTATCTTTTATGTATAGGATATGGAAAGGTTTTCATACATCACGAATTTAGATTTACCCAATGAAATTAGTACTCTCCTTGTACAAGCTAAGTATGTGCCTGTTAACCGTGGAGGTTGCCTGCTGAAGACTGCCTGCAGGGGCACTACTGAAATATCACACTTGTGGGTCATGTTTGCATCACTACTGTGTTTTTCCCATTTGAAAATCACTTACCTCTATAGCAGTCAGCTAAGAGTGGAAGACATAGGCCTTCCCTTCAACTTACTGCGTAGTGAAACATGAGCATAAAACGCCCTGTGAGCAGCACTTTTATGTCCAGGATATGGAAAGGTTTTCATACATCACGAATTTAGATTTACCCAATGAAATTAGTACTCTCCTTGTACAAGCTAAGTATATGCCTGTTAACCACGGAAGTTGCCCACTGAAGACTGTCTGCAGGGGCACTACTGAAATACCACACATGTGGGTCATGTTTGCATCAGTACTGTGTTTTTCCCATTTGAAAATCACTTACCTCTAGCAATCAGCTAAGCGTGCGTGGAAGACACAGGCCTTCCCTTCAACTTACTGCGTCGTGAAACATGAGCATAAAACGCCCTGCGAGCAGCACACTCAGCGAGGAGTGTGGGGAGGGAAGATTACTTAGCAGGGCGGCTTTCAGCACATTTTTACTGGGCTCCACCCCTGTGTCAGGCACTGCTGGGAGTGTGGGTCCCTCACTGTGTCTGCAAAGCCACAGTGAGAACAAATGCAGGTCTGGCCCTTAAGAGTGTGAGAGGGGATCAGGTGTGTGAGCAGAGTGGTCTGTACAGGTGAGCTGTAGGCTGGGAAAGGAGGCCGGCCGTGGCTGATTCAGCGTGTGCTGGGGAAGGAGCAGGCGCCCAGGTCTCAGTGCTTCCTAAGAGCTCCCCACCTCAAGCTCCATGGGGACTTTCAGATCTCTTCTTCCCCATCTCAGATCCCACTCCTCCACTTTCAGCAAATGACCTCATGTTTACCTTAACAGAAAATACAGCAGCCACCAGCTGGGGCCTACCCTCCAGCCATGGGCCTGCCTTCAAGCCATCGGCCTCCACGCCTTCCCTTGTCTTGTTCCCTCATCTCCAAGGCCAGCCCCTCCACCCTGGGGGATTTGGGGTCTCCTGCACCTTCCCTGGAGCTTTACATGACCGAGGATCCCATCTTTTATTTGTATTCCACCTTTTAGCTGGATCCCTCCCATAGATGCTCACACATGCTCATCTCTCACCCGTTTAAAAAAGAAGGACCTCCGTGACCCCACTTCTTCAGTTGCTTGCCTTTTCCTTCCCCTTCAGGAACTTCCCTAAAAAATTCAAACTCCAGGGGCCGGCCTGGTGGTGCACTGCTACAGTGCGCTGCTTGGGAAGTGTGGCGGCGCTCCCGCCGAGGGTTCGGATCCCACACACAGACCGGCCAGCCGCTCACTGGCTGAGCGAGGGGCGGGCGCAGCACCGAGGGTTGCGATCCCGTTGCCGGTCCCGGTCCGGTACGGGTGCAGCACTGAGGGTTGCGGTCCATTGCCGGACATGAAAAAAGACAAAAAGGGGAAAAAAAAAAAAAATTCACACTCCATCCCCATTTTCTCCCCTCGTATGTTATTGAACCACTTCAGTCTCCACTGACCTGTGACCTGTGTTTGTACAACATCCAATGTACCTTTCTCTCTCTCTCTCTCTCTCTTTTTTAATTATAAAGAAAACAAAACTCATTACTTATAGTTTTGGAGGTTGGGAAGTCCAAAGTCCAGGGAACACATCTGATGAAGTGAAAAGTAGTGGTGACAGTGACCCAGGCAAAATGGCTAAAATGGTGGAGCAGAGAGAGAGAGAAACTCTCACGTGCTCTCCTTTTAAAGCCTCAGAACCACCCCCATTATTCCAAGAATGGATCAGTCCATTCAGGAGGGGACAGTCGTCACAATCCACCTTTCAGTTACCATAATAGGATTTCCCTCCCTCTTAACAGTCACAGTGGGGACTGTGTTTCTAATACATGAAACTGGGGACACAATTCAACCCACGGTGTGCATGTTTCAGGTCTCATTTTGCTTGGCCTGTTAGCTGTTCTCAGCATCGTCGGCCAATCAATTCCCATTCTCCTGGTTCTCCTTTTA